CTCTCCTTCATGGTCTCCTGCAGGGCCTCCCGCATGGCCTCTTGACTGGTCTCCCGCATGGTCTCTCGTACTTTGTACTCGCTGTAGTACTCTGTATAGTACGACTCACTCTCTCTGTAGTGCCCTCTGTAAGAAGTATCTTCAGTATGATGAAGCGCTGTTCAGGGTCTTCTGCAGCCATCAATTTATCGCCTTCGTTGCAGAGCCGGGCGCGAGCCAATCGCCGGAACTTTGTAACTGGCCACCTCCGTCACATGAACCTTTCCATGGCCTGCCTTGAAAAAGCACGTGCGGAGGTCCAGCATCGATTCCAGGGCAGCCAAGTCCACAGTGATGGTTGAGATTCGATCTCCTTCTCCTCCTCCTCCCCCTCTCAGCTAACTCAGCTGGGGACATTAGATCCGCTTAGAAGCTGCCGCCCTCCTTCTGCTGCTCATCCTCCTCCTCCCCGGTCCGACTCCGCCTCCGCCTCCTGGAGAGAAGGAGAGAATACGCCGCCACAACCAAACTTCCACAATCCCACTTGGGGACATACCTTGGAACATACGGCCTCCTGGGCTGACCGGCGGCCGATGTGCACAGCAAGGTTCTGCTGGGCCCAGGATGAGACTGGGGAGTCCCCGTAGCGAGATATATTTGTCCTCGACCTACCACCGCTTCCTGCTTTAAACCTCCTCCTCCTCCTCCTCCTCCTCCTCCTCCTCCCCCGCCTCCTCATGGGGGCGGCATATTCATATTTGTCCTCGCTGTACCTCCTCACTCACCCCTCCTCATCCTCTTCGTTCTGCCTCGTGCTCCTCCTCTTCATGCCCCCCAGTGTACAGTTTCCCTCGTTATACCTCTCCCTCCTCCTCGTTCCACTTTATGGTACTTCCTCCTCTCCTCCTCCAAGTATATACTCCCCTCGTAATTTTCCAGTGGCTTTCGCTTCACTCACCTGATCCTTGATCGAGGGAGCTGCTGCTGAATACCCCCGTACATCTTGTGGCACCTCTCCGCCTCCTCATGAGGCGCGAGTCTCAAAGGCTCCCCTGGTCTACCTCGCCCCACCTTTCTCCTCTTCCTCCTCCGGCTCCTCCTCCTCCTCTTCCTCCTCCTCCTCCTCCTCCTCTGGCTCCTCCTCCTCCTCCTCCTCTTCCTCCTCCGCCTCCTCCTCCTCCTCCTCCTCCTCCTCCTCATCCTCCTCCTCCTCCCCCTAGTAGCGACAGAATCTCGCACGATCCCTGCAGACGCGGACTGCCCCGCGAATTGGCGTGCACGGGGCCGCACGGCGGAGCCATGCGGCGGCGGGCCGAGCCAGAGTGCGCCGCCCGGCGCCGCCTTTTCGTGGGAAAAGGGCTCGGGCAGCCGCGAGGTGTTTTGCAACGGGCGCGACGGGTCAGGAGGAGGAGGAGGAGGAGGAGGAAGAGGAGGAGGAGGAGGAGGAGGGGAGGCGGAGGATGAAGAGCAGCAGCAGGAGGAGGAGGAAAGAGGGGAGGATGGAAGGAGGAGCATGATGGGGAATGAGGAGCAGAAGGGTGAGCAGCAGCAGCAGGAGCAGGAGCAGAAGGGGCGCGTAGCGAAACAATGGAGAGCCCATGGCAACTACGTCTGAGTGCTCAGCCATGGGCATGCTCGCTGCAGAAGCATTTGCCTCTAGCCACGTGCGGTGTGACATAAACGATGCAAGCAACACCAATGGTGCGAATTACCGCAATTCAAGCAGGAACCAGGAACGGCATGCGCGTTCATTGCTCATTCTCCTCCTCCTCCTCCTCCTCCTCCTCCTCCAACTCCTCCTCCTCCTCCTCCAACTCCTCCTCCTCCTCCTCCTCCAACTCCTCCTCCTCCTCCTCCTCCTCCTCCTCCTCCTCCTCCCCGTCTTCCTCCTCATCTTTCTCCTCCTCCTCCTCCTCGCCTACCCCATCCCTGTCCTCTTTCTCTCCCATTGATGCAGTGCTTCGAAGTTCTACGAGTGGATGTGGCATCCCTGGCCAGCCACCGAGGTCGAACGCCAAACCATCACAGGCCACATTGCATGCGAGAGTCCGACGACGCACCCGCGGTCAGTTGTGAAGGAAGAGACATTATGGGGGACGCTGTTACACGAAACCTTGCATCCGCATCGCATGCGCCTCAATAATCAATACTATTACCACGTGGAGCGTTACAAGCGGCCGCCATGGGTGCTCGGGAGCGCACGACCCAGGACTGAGACTGGACTGGACGAGCGGCAAGCGCATGTAGGCAAGCCGTCCAGTGCCACCATCCAGAAAGGATTAACACTCAGCAACACACGTAGTATAACACAACTGATCAAGCCACGCGCACACATCATATGTCCCACTTGACGCCGCATCCTATCAGGTCCGATCACCCACCGCAAGAGCAATTGCGATTGGATGGCGGGTGTAACACCACTTACAAGTGTGGGGGCTGGAGACGGAGCAAGAAAGCTCAATGAACCTGGCACGACCTGAAGCCACACGTGTGCAATGCAAAACAAAATGAAGTACCACGCAATGAGGCGCTACGCAAATTATAGCGCGGCGTAGCACCAGGTTGAATGCAATATCTTAGCATGCAGCTGTATGATGTTGCGTTGCATACCTCAGCTCAGCACGCCATCGCATAGCAGCACAGCGTACAGCCAACACTGCATAACACACTCTAGCATAACAAAGCGTAGCACAGTCTGGTATGCAACGCGATAAGACGTCATAACCAAACATAGCCCTACCATATCATAGCACTGCGCAGCATCAGCACATAGTGTCGCACGCATAGCCAAAGCCAATCTAAAGCCCGCATTCGCCTACCCTTACTAACAGGCAATGGGACGGGACGGCGCTGCTCTTCGCAACATAAACCCTAGTTGTGTAAACAGGTACGAATCCCATTGAGCAGGCATGGTCGGAGAAAGTTGCATATGTTTGTTTGTAGGATTATTATTCGTCTTCTTCTTCGTCTGATTATTCGTATGCTTCTTCTTCGTCGTCTGATTCTTCTTCTTCTTCACAAACACTTGAAGTACCGAATCACGTCTAACGTGCAATATCTCGGAGCAAGGCGAATTGAGACAACGGCCACTCAAACCAAGAAAACCCTCCAAAAGTCCAAACGCACCAATTTTCCGAGCCGTGTCCAGCCGTGGCGACGAGGGCCCCCCCTCCGAAGGCCAACTACCGCTGTCTCAACTCGCCACTCTCTGAACATCGTCCTCCTCCTCCTCCTTTTCTTCTCCGCCTCATCCTCCTCCTCCTCCCTTCTTCTCCTCCTCCTCCTCCTCCTCCTCCTCCTCCTCCTCCTCCTCCTTCTCTTCCTCCTCCTCCTCCTCCTCCTCCTCCTCTTCTTCCTCCTCCTCCTCCTCCTCCTCCTCCTCCTCTCCTCCTCCTCCTCCTCCTCCTCCTCCTCCTCCTCCTCCTCCTCTTCCTCCTCCTCCTCCTCCTCCTCCTCTTCCTCCTCCTCCTCCTGGCACCTGCGCCACTGGGACCCCTTCCCAGAAAAACAAGCGGGTAGCAGCCCGATCGTCACCCTGGTTTGCCCGTAGGGGGCCAAGAGGAGAGAACATTGCTCCTCGTCACCAGCGGCCACCCATGGAGTGGGTGGTGGGTAGGTTTGGCGTCGGAGCACGGCCTCTGGCGCCCCCTGCCCCGAGCGGGGCGCGCGGAGCACGGCCTCCTTGCGTGCCTTGTTTCGCGCGCCGTTCGCGGAGCACGTGCTCCTCCTGGTCCTCCTGGCCACGGGGACATGTGCCCCAGGACCTGCGCCTGTGGGCTATGCCAGTCCTCGCTGGCGCCTGCGGGTCTTGCATGCCTCGCCCGCAGAAAGATCTGTCACGACTGGCGGGAGAGGGTGCAGCGGCACTCCTCCTCCTCCTCCTCCTCCTCCTCCTCCTCCTCCTCCTCCTCGTCCTCCTCCTGCTCCTACTCCTCCTACTTCTCCTGCTCCTGCTCCTGCTCCTGCTCCTCCTCCTCCTCCTCCTCCCCCTCCTCCTCCTCCTCCTCCTCCTCCCTCCTCCTCCTCCTCTCCTCCTCCTCCTCCCTCCTCCTCCTCCTCCTCCTCCCCTCCCCCTCCCCTTCCCCCTCCTCCTCCTCTCTCCTCCTCCTTTTTCTTCTCCTCATCCTCCTCCTCCTCCTCCTCTCCTCATCCTTCTCCTCCTCCTCTTCCTCCTCCTTCTCCTCCTCCTCTCCCCCTCCTCATCCTTCATCTAAGCAGACTATCGGGGATCTGCCCCCCCCCCCCTCCCGATTCTAGGTCCACCCTCTCGGCGTGCCGGCACTGCTCAGGCACACTCGGCGGCCCACGCTGCCGAGCCGTCAGATGAAAACGCCCAGACGCGCGGCCTTGCACACTGCAGGACGCCAGCGCCGGGTCGGGGGATGCAGAGTGTGCGAGCGCCGCGCAGCGGCTGGTCGCCGACGTGCGCGCGCTGCTGCATCGATACCGTCCGCGGACCGCGAGAAGTTGCGCAGCCATGCAAAGACAACGGAGATACGGTCAGGGACTTTTGCTTAGCGTGTCGCGGCGGCGGTCCCGGCGTTACGCTATGCCCTGCGAGCTGATAGCGTGTCGCTCATGTATACTAGAACCACGCGCGCGCTTCGCGCGCTTAGGTTCTAGCGCAGGCCAGGGAAGCGTCAGAGCACATGGGGATCCCTCGCCATGTTTTTCGCCTCCCTCTTTTCGGAAGCAAGGGACGGAAGAGGGAAAGGGACAGACATAACGGGAGGGGAAGGGACAAAGTGAGAGCGAGAAGAATGGGGAACAAACGACAGGGCAACGAGGAATTGGTGAAGCAGAAGCGAGGCGGGATGGTTGTGATGATGGCGACGGTGACGGTGAAGGCGATTGTGATGAGCATTGGATTGTCATTTTTATCATTGCTTGATGATTCCAAGTGTGTAATGTGGAGGGAAAAGGGATGGTGCGGAAACTGATGTGGAGGAGAACGTTGATGATGCTGACGATGATGATGACGATGTAGTTGTTGATGCGGATGATGAGGATGAGGATGATGCTGATGATGGTGATGCTGATGATGACGCTGCTGCTGTTGATGATGATAATCTATGATGATGATGATGATGATGCTGGATAGTGATGATGCTGATGATGCTGCTGCTGATGATGATGATGATGATGTTGATGATGATGGTGGTGGTGGTGGTCGTGACGATGATAATGCTGATGATGATCCTGATGCTCCTGATGACGATGAAACGAAGCCTCTGGGGAGCATCTTGCAAGCAGTTTTGAAGCCTCTTGGGGCTCTGAGGGGACGTTTGGGATGCCTCGTGGGGCTTATTTGGGGCCTCAAGCTCCAGGGGGGGCCTCGTGGGGCCTCGTGGGGGCCTGCTGACGGTCTCTGGGGGACTCTTGGGGCGGAGAGCTCGAAATCTCAGTTCGAGTCCCCCCTTTGGGGCCCCTCCTGGTGCCCTCTAGGGCTGTCTTGGGCGCCTTGCGGGCCGTCTTGACAAGGAGGTCGAGCTAGTGTACCACCCTCATTCCCGGCAAATCTTGTCTCTGAAGAAGGGTCGGATTTCGAATGCAACCGCATTACGAGACATGTTAGGACCCTTCCCCAGCTGCCGTGTGCAGGAAGGGTACGTAACATATTACCCCAATTAACCCTTGCACACGCCACGTCGGCCGGGGGTGGGTTCACAAAAAAATCCAATGGTTGAAAGATGAACGGGTTTCCCGAAAGCTGGACGGGTTTCCCGATACCAATGCCAAAACGCATTCCGCAATTTTCTGGTCCCGCGGAGGGAGGGCGGGTGTTGAAAAATATGATGGAATGTTTCTCCGCGTGGCGCGCCGGCCGCAGGGCGAATGGGCACAACAGAGGCCAACGGATCTTCCCTGGGAATTCGCCGGTGGGGGGGGGCGTCGTGGAAACCTTGGGCAATCTTGAGGACATCATGGGCGTCATGGGGCGACCGTCAGGCATCTCGGGGCCCTCTCGGGCTGTCCTCGGGGTTTCTTAGGGCCCCTTTGGCCCTTCCAGAGGCTCCAGGGGATTCTCTTGAGCGGCTGGGGGAGGGCCACGGGAGGCCTTGTGGGGCCGTGGACCCAGATTGGGGGGTTGGGGGTCCCAGCTTCTAGCCCCCGATGTCCTTCCCCAGAGAAAGAGAGAGAGAGAGAGAGAACAACAAAAAAAAGGGGGAAAGAGAGAGAGAGAGAGAACAAACAAAAAAGAACAGGCGAGGGGGGAAGAGAGAGAGAGAGAGAGTGAGCGACGGAGAGGGCGAGAAAGAGAGAGAGAGAGAGAGAGAGCGAGCGAGAGAGACAGAAAGAGAGAGAGAGAGAGAGAGGAGGAGAGAGAGAGAGAGAGAACAAAGAGATCGAGAAAGAGAAAGAAAACGGGGTGAACGGAGCGTGGAGGGCGAAGGCAACTGATCACACGACGCGTGCATCGGGCATCGAGCCCGAATTTCGCACCGCTTGCTGCGGGGGTGAGAGTGACATGTTGAGCTTGTCCGTGTACGCAGGCAACACAAACCAGATAGACAACTGAAGAAGAGGGTACAATATGGCTCGCTGACGTACGCCGGTAGAGGCACAATGGGAAGACTGACAATGATAGAGTTCCCGTGCTCCTGCGAGGCGCCCTGGTAGTTCTAGCTCATGAAAACCCACTTCTCGTATTCTTCCGCGGTCGTGCCGAGCGCCTCGGGATGACACATCAGATAAGATCTCAGCTCATGCGCCAGCATTCCTAATGCATGCCCCTGTAGATGCATGTCCGCTTATTGGCGATGGGTGTCGCTTGCTACCTTGCAAGCAGTGGGGCGTCGCATGCGAAGAGACATGCCACCAGTGGAGCAGAGCTACCATAACCAAAAACCATCAAAAGCACAACTTATCATAACTCATAACAGTGCCGCCGTTGAGGGAAGAGAGGGAAGAGGGAGAACAGATGATGGAGGAGGACAAGGGCAAGGATGACCAGGACAAGGAGCGTCGTCTTGCCATACATCATGCTGAAATGTATGCCCAGCGACGCGCCGACGCAATCCGAGCAAATTTCACCGACACATGAGCAACATCGACACTTCAGAGCCAATGCGGCGAGGGCTCCTTCAGCCTCTTCCACACGGAGCCGTCGCCCCACAAGATGGAGCCCGTCTTCCCTGAGACAGGCGGGCGGCATCAGCTAGACAGAGCACGCAGGTACCGAGCACAGGAACACACACGACGACGACGACGACGCCGACGACGACGACGACGACCAGCCTCGGTCTGTGCAAGGGAGGAGGGAGGAGAGGGGGGGAGGAGGGGGAGGGAGGAGAGCAGGGGAGGGAGCTCAGCTGACCTGAATCCATGCGAATCCAGTGCCGAAGGAGGGCGAACGCGGCAGATCATGGTCGCGATCGCGATCGCCGCGTTCAGCTTCGACGTGGCGGCGGACGCCGATCCGCAACGGACGGCGGAACCTGCGATGATGACTCGGCTCCGGTGTTGAGTATCGTTTAACCGATCCCCATCCCCAGCGGCGTGGCCTGAGCCCCACTGGCCGATTTACCCCCCTAGATAGGGATATAGGTCGTTCCTTCGGGTTTCGAGGGGTGTATCCCCAACTGGGGTGGTAATCTGGTGGGGGTCTCGAAGGGGATGGGGATGGGGATGGGGATCGGTGAAACGATACCGAGGTGTGGCCGGTCACGAGCGCCCGCCGAGTAGGGGAGCAGGCCTCCTGCTGCACAGGCGCAAGACGGTCTGCGTCGACTCGTCGGCGCCAGCCCGCAGGCCGTGCGACGCATTCGGCGAGGCCAGGCGTGGAGAGAGGTGGCCCTGGCCCTGCGGCTGCTCCAGCCCACCATGCGGTCGAGGAAATAGTCCCCATATTATTTTTTGACTATTTTTGAATATTCCTCCTGTCGAGGGACATGCCCGACTTAAGCCTACCGGCCCATCCTCGGACCCCTGACGGCCCCTGGCCCTCGGCCTAAACAGGCCTCGTGCGGGGTGCCTTGGGGAGGCTCCTGCGGCCTCCCTCGAGAGCCTGGGGCCACCTCGGGCTGGCACCCCTGATGGGCGTGCTTTCCACCACCGCCACCATAAGTTGGAGGGGGGGGTCCTCCTCCTCCTCCTCCTCCTCCTCCTCATCCTCCTCCTCCTCCTCCTCTTCGTCGCCCTCCTCCTCCTCCTCCTCCTCGCCCTCCTCCTCCTCCTCCTCCTTCCCCCCTCCAACTTATGGTGATGGTGTTGGTGGAAAACAGGCTCATCAGCCCCCCCCCCCGGCGCATCCCCGAGGCAGGACCGGTCAGCCGCGGCTCGGGAAGCCGGCCCGCATCGGAGCGTGCCGTCGGACCAGGCCGCGTCGACACGGAGCCGGCATTGGATCGAACCTCGGCCGTGCCAGGAGGCACCACGGCGCCCTGCGAGCGCCGGGTCGCCCTGGACAGTCAAAAGATTGTCGGCGGCGAGCAGGGGGAGAAGTGAGAAGGAGAAGGCCTTCTCAGAAGGCTCGGAAGTCCCCCGGCCTTGTGAGAGGTTTTCTGAGCCTTCCCCGAAGACACCGAAAACTTCTCAGAAGGCGCGAGGACTTCTGAGAAATCCCGCCGCCTTCTGAGAAGGTCTTCTCCTTCTCACTCCCCCCCCATCTGGGCGGCGCGCAGAGGGGGGCAGGGGGAGGGGGGGAGGCTTCTTAGAAGCACCCCTGCATCTTAGAAGGCGCGGGCCTTGCCTGTAGATCTATGACCGGCGCCTTCTAAGAAGCAGCCTCCTTCTAAGAAGCCTTCCCCCCTTCCCCTGCCCCCCTCTGCGCGTGGCCGACCCTGGCTCGTCGCCGAGATTGACATCGAGTCCGACAGGGGCCGGCCGCTCCGAAGCGCATCCCGTGGGGGCCCACCGCGGGCCAGCACCACCCCTGGGCCACCTCCCGAGGTGAGAGGCGGCCGCCGCGCGACGAGCCGCGGGCGGCCCCCCCTCGCGCACGCCGATCGTTTCCCTACAATGGAGGCCGGACCACAAGAAACCCAACCTCCTCCTCCTCCTCCTCCTCCTCCTCCTCCTCCTCCTCCTCCTTCCCCAGAAACCTTCCACAAGAAACACAACCCTGAGACCCCAGGATGTCCACGTGTTTGTGGTGTGGGAACGTCACGCCTTCCACAGCAAAAGCATTGAAGCCCAAGAAACCCAGGGCACCCTCGAGGCAAGCAGGGTGTTTCCTGGCATGGGCCTCCACTGTACCGCCGCTGACGTCGCTCTGCGCGACGGCCCGGCCTGCCTGCGCTGAGGGCGGAGTTCGGCCACGGCAGGTTCGCGACGTGTCGACCCCAGCGTTGGTTCCTGACACCGTGGGGATCTTTCAACCGTAAAAGATCGGCCGATGGGCCGATTCTGGGTCACCGACTGTGTTCAACGTTCAACGCCAGCGGCGGGGTCGTCGCCAGTCGACACGACGCGAACCGACCGTACGCGCAAGAGTGGCCCTAGGCAATAGTGACCTTTGGTGCGCGGCTTTATGAGGGCCGCGAAGTGCCCCCAAACCAAGCGCGCGGGCCAGTGCTGGGGTGGGGCGACCCCTGCGGTCCCGCACCAAAGGGTCACTCCAGCGAAGGATTACTGTTGCGCGTAACCGAGGAATGGGGAAACCAGGAGATACCCATACCGCTGCTCCCCTGACCTCTCCTGGGGCGCGTTCTGCTCGGGAGTGCACGGCGAATGCAGCCGATTGGCGACGAGAGCTTCCCAGGAAGCCCTAAGTAGTGAGAACAAGGCATACCCCCCCCAAATGCCCCCTCCCCAAAAAAACGTCCCCAGATTATGTTTGACTATGTTTGACTTTTCCCCCTGTAGAGGGACAGGCCCGACTTAAGGGCAGCGGCATTTCATCGGCACATGTCGGTCGGCTACACGCAGGAGTGGCCCTGGGCAGGAGTGACCTTTGGCGCGCGGACTACAGGGGGCGCAAGGTGGCCAAGTCGGAGTGCGCAGGCAGCCGCTGCAGCATCGCGCCCAGCGATCGGGGGGACCCCGACGAGCCCGCACCAGAGGTCACTCAAGCGAAGGGTCACTCGTACGTGCACGGCCGGACAGATTGTCAACAAAAACTATAGTTGAAGAAATCTGGGCCAGCTTCCCCGCGGGTTCTCAAAACAATCCTGGGCCAATAAACGCTGGAGGAGCGAACGAACTCCAGAAACTGGGCCAGCTTTCTGGCAAGTCGGTTCGGAAACGCTGGCCCAGCTTTTCGGGAGGAGGCTTCTTGATCAGATGCTCGACTGTGGCCGAACACGATCCTCCTCTGAGCACAGCACAACCCACTCCCACCCCCAGCAAGAACCCCCCACTCCCGACCTGGTGATCCAGGGGGTCCTGGCTGGGGGTGGAGGTGTTCTGGGGGGGCTCCAGAGCGCCCAAAAACCACCCTCACCCAAAGCCAGGACTTCCTGGATCACCAGGTCGGGAGTAGGTCCTTGCCGGGGGTGGGGGTGGGTTGTGCTGTCCTCCTCCTCCTCCTCCTCCTCTGACAGGAGGCCCCCGAGGCCGACTGTGGTCGAACGACGGCGCCGACGACGACGCCGACGACGACGAGAGGCCCCCGACGCCCGGCCAGCGCGGACCTCGCCCGATCCAAGAGCGCGGAGGGCGGCCGGGCGGGCGCTCCGCGCCCGGCCCGCCGCGGCCGCTCGCGGCCTGGCCGGGGCCTGCGCTCCGCGGGAGGGCCCCTCGGAGGGCCCAGCCAGCACGTCCCGCCCGCAGGGCGGAGACTCTGCTCGGGGGGCGGGCGAGAGGGCAGGACAGCAGAGGGCAGGGCAGAGAATCAGCTCACGCAGCTATAGTTTCCTGGCGCATCCTGGCCCCCGGAGGCGCCCACGTATCGAGGGATGGGCCTGGCGGCGGGGGCCGAAACCAGCTGCAGCAGCAGATCTCGTGACTACAGAATTGATTTACCCTAGGCTTGAAGTCTTCGCTGAATCTGCAAACCATGATACATGTTTTTTGGGGATCGGTTCGACGAGCATTGCAAGTTTGGGGTAAATCAGTTCTGCAGTCGATCCCCCCAATCGAACCCTGGAAGGAACATTTGGAGGCTGGAACTGGGCACCGACACCAACACAGAGGTGGCTTCAACGGGTAGAGATGATTTTAGATTCTGGTGCTGGTGGTAATATTTGGGCAACCCAAACAGCCCAAATATTACCACCATTGCTGACAACGGGATCATCTTCCATCGGCGAAGGCAAACCAAGCTTCCGAAAACCGGCGTGCCCTGAGATCTGGGCGTTGCATCTTTGTTCACGCCGGCCGTCTTCGCACGGCCTCGGGCCCCAGGACCATCACGGATCGATCCGGCTCGAAGAGTGCGGCCAAAAGCTGTGGCTCAGGGCTCCAGTCGTGATTTTTCGCGATGCTGTTTTTTTCCGCAACGTCGGATCTCAGGGTCCCCCGAAGTCCCGCCCCCTTCCCCCAGGGTGGTTTTTCTACCCGGATCCGTTTTTGTTCCCTGGGCCCGATAGCTGCCTGGGGAGGCCGAAGCGAAGGAAAAACGACGCGACTGAACCAATAATATCGTCGGAGATCTGATGAGATCTGGGTATGACGAACGCCCTGCCGCCTCCGACGTCGCCCTGCGCGACCGCACGGCATCCTGGCTCGACCTAAACAGCGTTTTCCAAAATGGCTTTGATGTTGTTCTCCCTCGTTCTGTCTTCGTTCCGCCCTTGCTGCGAATAGCAGTCGAAACGATAACGGTCCACGCAATCCAAGACGGCCCCAAGAGGCTCCCAAGAGGGGGAACACCAAGCGCCAGTTTGCGCCTTCGGCCCGAAGAAGAGGCCCCCAGGAGGCCCTCAAGAGGCGCCCAAGAAGGCCCCAAGAGGCCCAAGAGGGCCCCCCCAAGATGTCCCCTTTCGAAAGGCCAACGCGTCGTCGTCGTCGTCGTCGTCGCCGTCGTCCCCCCTCAGGGTCGGCGGCACCAGCCGCAAGGCGGGAGAGAAGGGTCCGCAACAGCGCTTTCCCATCTCCGCAGCCGTTTGCCTCAGAGGCCCCACAGAGGGCCGTGCTACAGGTCTCGAAAACAGCTCAGCAACACTCACGGAGAACAGGTGGTTTGAACTCCCCTCCCCGAATGCAGCGTTTGCTTCGGAGCTTCCGAACTCGGGAGTCCGAGCGGTGATGCGTGACCGTGCAA